CATTTGTCGGGAGAAGTCTAATCCAACAAACATTTGCCACTTGTGCCGACGAAAATTTGTCGGGCGAGGTGTTTTCTTAGTTTGACTGCTATACTTTAAAATATTCATTTTTTTTTTGTATAGCCGAGATATTATATTTTTAGCATATAGCCGACTGGCTGGACTTAAAAATATTCTAAATATAATATTTTGGAGAATAGCCGTGCAGCGATAATCCAAAGTATTATATTCAAGGGCATATAGCCGCGCGGCTATACTATTTAAAGGTATAGAATAGTAAATAGAATATTTTAAAGGTATAGCCGTTGAATATATTATGTTTTAATTACTTTTATTTATTTAGTGAAGAATTAGTATTTAAATATTTGAATTCATTTCATAAAACTTACTTAATAAATATTAATTAATTATATTTAATGATCTTAAAGAATTTTGTGGAATGTAAAATTATTTTAAAAATAGTTTTATTTATTTAAAAAATCTATAAAATTATTTTGTTATTCTAAAAATGGAATTTTAGTCTCCAGACCAAAAATCCAAGACTCAAAACAAAAAACATAGCTTTTGAACTTGTTCCAAAACTGTTCACAAGCCTCGAACCCTAACTGTAAACCTATTGTAGGGCACTTAGGACTCGATTAGGTTGGATAATCACATAACTCGACCAAGGGCTTTACGATTTAGGTTTCACTCTCAATCTTGGGCTCTGGAAATATTTAATTAAGACACCCAAACGAAAATGAGTAATTTATTTTTTCGTTTTTGCACAGAAGAATTAAATCAGTAACATATTTAAATATTCAATAAAGAAATAATAATTAATGCGTAATTACTAATTAAAGTGATTCAAAAAGACTAGATATTACTTAATCACATATATTAAATTAAAGAAGTTGGCCAAAAAACAAAAGTGAAGAAACTAATTTTAAAATTTTAAAATTAAAAAAAAAAAACCTCTCTCGACGATATTTCATCAGCAAAGGTTACATTTGTCGGGAGAAGTCTAATCCAACAAACATTTGCCACTTGTGCCGACGAAAATTTGTCGGGCGAGGTGTTTTCTTAGTTTGACTGCTATACTTTAAAATATTCATTTTTTTTTTGTATAGCCGAGATATTATATTTTTAGCATATAGCCGACTGGCTGGACTTAAAAATATTCTAAATATAATATTTTGGAGAATAGCCGTGCAGCGATAATCCAAAGTATTATATTCAAGGGCATATAGCCGCGCGGCTATACTATTTAAAGGTATAGAATAGTAAATAGAATATTTTAAAGGTATATCCGTTGAATATATTTTGTTTTAATTACTTTTATTTATTTAGTGAAGAATTAGTATTTAAATATTTGAATTAATTTCATAAAAATTACTTAATAATTAATAATTAATTATATTTAATGATCTTAAAGAATTTTGTGGAATGTCAAATTATTTTAAAAATAGTTTCAATTATTTAAAAATTCTAGAAAATTATTTTATTATTCTAAAAATGGAATTTTAGTCTCCAAACCAAAAATCCAAGTCTCGAAACAAAAACCATAACTTTCGAACTTATCCGAACTTGTTCCAAAACCGTTCGCTAGCCTCGAACCCTAACTGTAAATCTATTGTAGGGCACTGAGGACCCAATTAGGGTTGGATAATCATGTAACTCGACCGAGGGCTTTACAATTTAGGTTTGCTCTCAATCTTGGGCTCTGAGAAGGTTTAATTAAGATTCCTAAACGAAAATGAGTAATTTATTTTTTCATTCTTGCACAGTAGAATTAAATCAGAAACATATTTAAATATTCACTAAAGAAATAATAATTAATACATAACTACTAATTAAAGTGATTCAAAAAGGCTAAGATATTACTTAATCACATATATTAAATTAAATAATTTGGCCAAAAAACTAATTATATATTTTTAGGATGAATGAACACTTTTGAAAAATTGCATGAAATAAGATGGCTCCCATTCTTACTTTTTATTCCGTGTGGCTGACTCTTTTTAACAGTACAAAAACAAAAAGAGAATAATTAATTACATAATAGGGTCATAACGGCCCCAGTTGATGCTGCTATTCATCTAAAGAGTCATATAAAATCAACCAATATGCTCTGGTGAACCTTTCCATTTCTCCACGTCGTGACAATTGTTTTTGTAGAAAAACAAAGGCTATATGCAGTGGTAAACCCTCTTCTGGAAACGAGGCACAAAGAAGCCTTGCAAATGAAAAGCTCTCGAAGAGAAGGCATGTTGTCCTGAAAACAGAACACTCTTAAAATTACTCAGCATTTTCAACTTAAATAGGATATAGGTTATGGTTAGCTGAACAACACTTTACAGAGAAATAAAGTAAATAGAACGACACTTCACAGAGAAAAATAATAATGGGAATCAGATTGAGTTTTTGTGTTAAGCACAAATTGTTTTTCTTGAAAATTATTATGATCAGAAAATTAATTGACTGTCAGAATGTAATTATAGGCTAGAAATGAAGAACATAATTCTGGGAAGCAGCATTAAATCAAAATCAATGGCAAATCCCGTTCCAGAAAGACTTGGTTATTCTCTGATATCTAAATAAGAAATACAATTTGGGCCAACTCAACAAATGTGGGGACATAAAAAATAGTTTAAAATGTGTATTTTGGTTTACTTTAACATTTAATTTGGGTTTTTTGAAAAGAAAAATAATGTATTTTGGGTGTTGGATTCAATTAGAAGAAAACCAGTTAAAGCAGTTATTCTCAGATTCTCAGAAACGAAAGAAATGGCGGGAAACCCTCTTCTGGCAGGAATTGGATACTGTCACACTCACTAATATATAGCTCTTCAAGAGAAGTGAGGTGTCCAAGTCCCTTTCTGTCCAAAGATTTCAGACTTGAAAGTCCCCAGATGCGAAGAGAGTGAAGAGTGGAAGGGAGCAGCTGTTCCTTGAGCAACGTCTCCAAGAAATCGTCACTTCCCCTGCCACCCATTGAAAAGTGTTCAAGGGAGATGAGGCCTTGCAAACCCCAGTACTCTCCCACTGAAGCCCTCAGTCTGTCTAAATTTTGAATGCAGAAATAAACCGCCTTCTGCAAATGACACTAAATTTGGAAGTTCAGTGCTGTGAGGGTGTGAGTGCGTTGGGAAAAAGACACCAGTTCTGGACAGTCATTGATAGACAAGGTACTGAGATGACTGAGATTCTCATCAACTCCTTCTTCAATGGAAAAGGATTCCAGATTCTCACACTCCCAAATTATAAGAACCGAGAGTTTGGGAAAAAGGCTCAACGGGAACGACCTCATTGAATCACAGCTATTTTGTACACACAAACTCGAGCCATGTCAACTTGACCAACATCTAGTGAGGTGGGAATTCTAGTCTCCTACAATGGTACGTCAAGCTTCTGAGAAATTGTCGGTGAACTTCAAATTGTATGGGTGAAACCTTGCAAATAAGCTCTTGTAAATAAACGTTGCAAATAAAAAGAACTCTCATAAGCTTCTGAGAAATATGGTCGATGAACTTCAAATTAGAGGTCCCCAACATTGATACCTGCCAAATATAGTGTAATTGAGAGAGTTGAGAATGTAGAACAAGAAGAACAAGATAGGTTTTGCAGAGAATTCAAATCTGCCAATTGAATTACTTACTTGGTGAAGGGTTAGATATACAAGTATACAAGGTGATTATTAGTTACAAACAATGCACAAGACATGGAGGGAAACATGGAGAGTTTCCATCCCTAAAACAAGGAAAAAGAAAACAAGGAAAAGTAACAAGGTGGTAGACAAGCCATTTAGGGATGTCTATGTTTTGTCTTTGTCTTTACTAACAATACCTGCCCATAAAACAAGACAGAATCAAAGAATGGCATGGCCAACGGTTATCCCAAGTGATTAGAGGTCCCCAACTTTAAATTGTCGGTAAATGACAACTGTTATTCCAATTGCTCATGGCAAAATTTAAGACCCCTCCAGAAATTAAAGGCAAAGAAAAGATCATGCACAGAGCTTTACCTTCATGTGTTTTCTGATACATTATGTGTTCAGGTTCAGCATCCGATTTTGAAATCCTGTTTCTTCTCACCGCTATTCAATATGGATGTTAACCAAAGTACTTTCTGTTTCCATACCTCAGCTCAGCAAGATACTTCTAAATGCAAAGAAAAAGAAATTAGAAGGTGTTTCAATCATCAGGAAATCTGAAAAGAAAATATTATTGATAAAATTCTTCGAGAAGAAATCATGTGGAATACTTTTAATAAATGTACGCATGCATTTACTGGATTCTCAAATTTGAAAACACCTCTGAAAGTCAAAAGAGCACCAAATAAACAACAATAGAGGACAAAACAATACAACAACAGAGGAATGTGTCAATCCAGATACTCCAGGAGAACCTTTCCATCTCCCCTCGTTGTTTGTCCTGCAAAAAGAGTATTAATTATTCAGCATTTGAGACTTACTATAGGATATAAGTTGTGAAGAAATTGAGTAAATAGAAGGAGAGAATTTATTGAGCAAAATAATAATAGAAATCAGATTGAGTTTTTGTGTGTTTTTCTGGAAAATCATTTTGATCAGAAAATAGCATATGAGACCAGTAAAAGCAGCAGTGACAAACAAAAAGCTGTGAGTATAAAATTTTGATCCAATGGCTGAAATTATTTAACCATTATGGGAATGCGAGCTTCAATCTCCTGAATGCATACAATCTCTTGAAATGTTTCCTAGCTCAATAGTAACTGAAGATTCGATTATTGACAGAGTATGCCTACGGTGTGGGAAAAGTGCTGAACAACAGAAAGCATGATCTGGGAAGAAGCATTCGATCAAAATGCTATGTATTTTGGCAACTGTAAAAGTTAATTGGATGCAAAATTGATGGCAAATTTGGGGCAATTCAACAAATTTGTGGACATAAAAAGTATTTCGGTTTATTTGGACAGTGAATTTCAGTTTTTTTTATTGAATTAGAAGAAAAGCAGTTAAAGCGGTTATTTGAAATACATACCTGACCTGAGTCTGATTTGAGAGTTGAGAGTGAAATATCCAAAAGCAATAGAATACTTTGTTTGACTCTATGAGAGAGAGAGAGAGAGAGAGAGAGCTCATATCATATGGACTTCATCATTTATGTCGATGCGAGGAATGTGAGATATCTTGGCCCAAAGGTCTCGTCCTGTCTTATTCTGATACCTTTTCTCCAGGGCAGAACATCTGAAGATCTTCAGATAAGAAAGAGATGGTGGCAGACCCTCTTCTGGCAGGAATTGGAGACTCGGGCAGTCATAAATACATAGCTGTTGAAGAGAAGTGAGGTGTTGAAGTGCCTCTCCTGGCAGGAATTGGAGATTGTCACACCTACCAATTTTTAGAGTTTGAAGAAAAGTAAGGTGTGCAAGTCCCTTTCCATCCAAAGATTTCAGAGTCAAAAGTTCTGCGATGCAGAGAGTGCGAAGAGTGGTAGGGAGCAGCTGTTGCTTTAGCAACATCTCCAATATTTCATCACTTTCCCTGCTACCAATTGTAAAATGTTCAAGGGAGCCAAGTGCTTGCAAACCCCAGTTACAGTAGTCTCCCACTGATGAAGATGAAGCCCTCAGTCTCTCACAATTCTTAATGCTAAAATCTTGCAGGTTGGGAGGCAAAACCCCATCTTCTGCAATTGACTCCAGATTTGGAAGATTGCTTATATTCAAAGTTCCAAGGGCTGTGAGGGTGTGAATGTGTTCAGGTAATAACTTCAACTTCTCGCATCCAAAGAATTCCAATCGAGTCAGGTTGGGAGTGGGCAATCCTCCCTCAGGAAAACACACCAGATTTGGACAATTATAGACATGCAGGCTATTTAGATGACTGAGAACCGCTCCTTCTTCAATCAAGCAAAGCGATTCCAGATTGTCACAATTACCAATATCAAGTGTCGTCAATTTGGGAAAAATGCCCAAGGGGAAGGACCTCATTGAATCACAACTATTATGTATAAACAAATAGTCGAGTGATGTTAATTTGGCCAACATCTCTTGAGGTACGAATTCTAATATCCTACAACTAACTATTATAAGTGATGTCAACGAAGTGGGTAGGCCATCTTCAGGGAACGACAACAGCGTTGGACAATTCCAGAGAGTCAATCTTTGAAGACGATTGATGTTGGGCAAGCACTGTATGTCATCAAAATCAGCTCCTGGAGACGAGGAAAGTCTGGACCTCTACTTCCACTTGGTACCCATTCCTCCCACTCTGCCATTTCCTTAAACTCCAGCTTCTCCAGTGATTGAAATGGCTGAATTAGAGACGCTCCATTTCTGCCGTAGAACTCAACACAAATTGTCTTAACAAAGTTCATCCTTTCTATATAGAGCTCTTTGAGAGCAGGTAGCCCCCCAACTGGTGGCAGCGACCAACAATATTTACAATCTCTAAGACGCATGACTTGTATGTTAGAGAAGCATGAGTCTCCTACCCAATTCGGGAAGTTGGTTCCACCGTAGAATTGGATGGTCAGTTTCTCCAAACTAATTGAAGGCTGGAGCTTGTCAAGTACATCTCTCACTTTTTCGGAATCATCTGAGTCTTCAACGCCCCATCTGAACTTTAACTCCTTCAGATCCTTCTTATTCTTCAAATTGGCTTGCACGACATCCTTAGCATCAACTACATTTTGCAGTTTTAGAATTGAAATTTTTCCTCGAAGATGTGGAAGCTCCCCCAATTCCCCAATGGTCGACCCAGTAGATTTCCCCACAATAAAAGCAGTCAACGTTCTCAAACTTTTTAGTCTACTCATTTGTGCTGGCATCTCTGCAATTTTAGTTCCACTCACATCAAGATGATGCAAACTAATTAATTCCCACAGGTCTACGGGCAATTTAGCAAGAGATGCACAACCTCCCAGCATTAATTTCTGTAAATTTATCAATTTTCTCAAGTCTGCAGGTAATTCAACAAGAGAGGAACAATTTGACAATAGTAACGTCTGCAAATTGTAAAAACGGCAAAGTACACAAGGTAACCTTTTAATTGCAGTATAGGAGAGATCCAAATAGCGTAAGTGAATGAGATTTTTAATAGAATCAGGTAAATCAGTGACATTCCTGTAACCTGACAATGATAACACCCGTAAACATCTGTGCGATGGCAACAAATCTTGTACAAACTGTTTACTTAGATAATACTGTTGATAAGTATTTGAATAGGCGGGTAGGAAGGTCCGCAAACACTTAGCCCCCTTTAATGGCTCAAATTTAAGAGCAACATTATATTTTCTCCTAGAATATGACAAATGGCGAACTCGTTCTACTTCACGTGATTCCCTACCACCTTCCAACCTGGAACAAAATCCTTTAGACATGAACACAGCCAAGTCATTGATGAGATCATGCATAATGAAACTTGATTTCCCTGACGTTTGAAATAATGATCGGGATAACAGTTCATCAAAATATTCCTTAGCCACCTCTTCCATGTTGTCCCCATTCTCAGCTTGTGGAATTAAACCTTCCGCCATCCAAAGAAAAACAACATCTTCTACCTTGAATTCATAGTCCTTTGGAAAAATTGAACAATAAATAAAGCATCGCTTTAACTTAGCTAGAAGATAATGATAACTCAATCCTAGAGCGGGAAGAATGTCACTTTTCTCGTAAGGTAACTCCCAAATACTGTTGTTTAGTACTCTGTTCCATACCTCAATGTCTAGCCTGGAACGTAACAGACCGCCAAGTGTTTGTGCAGCTAAAGGCAACCCATTGCACTTTCGTGCAATTTTCTTGCCGATTTCTTCCAAGCTTGGATATGCACTACAGCTTACATTTCGAAACGCATGTTTTGCAAGTAATGACCAACAATCTTCATGCGACAATGGTTCCAAGGGTTGAGTAGGAACATTTTGCATGAAAGATGCTACATTTTTGTTCCGTGTTGTTACGATGACTTTACTTCCCCTTGCCCCTGAAGTAAAAGGAGTTTGGAGGCAGTTCCAATCAGTATATTTCTCATTCCAAAGGTCATCCAATACAAACAAAAATTTCTTCCCCCTTAGTTGTTCTCTTAGTTCAACTTGAAGCAAATTGAGATCTGTCGTTTTACAAGGTTTTGAAGTGACTGACTCAAGAAGAGTTTTAGTTACCCTGATAGCATCATAGTCTTCTAAAACACAAGCCCAAGCTTGAAATGTAAAATGCCCTTTCACCTTATCATCATTGTAAAGCATGCGGGCAAGGGTTGTCTTGCCAACCCCGCCCATTCCAACAATAGTGATGACGGACACATCCTCCTTGCTTGCGTCATCAGAGAACAACAGTTTTGATAAATTTTCTTTGACTTCATCTCTACCATATACAAAAGGTTCATGAACCAAGGAAGTTGTTGGAGTTCTTTGTGAAACCTTCCTCCCAACAACTTCTGTCAAACCAAGAGCACCTTTCAGTTGTACAAAGTCTTCTAGTTTTCGTAACAACTCCTGTATCTTAACATTCATGCTTTGATAAAACTTATTACGAGAAGTAGGGAGGAAGTTCCACACCTTGTTGGTAAATTTGTCCGCTGTTTGAGCTTCACCTTCCAGCTTGCATCGCAAAGATTCATAGTTGATCTCATCCAGCAAGTCCTCAGCATCAAAGACTGCATGTTTGAGGTCGTCAAGCCACTCTCTCACAGCTGGTTTCTCAATTTGCTTCTCCTCTGCATCATCGAGCAATGCGTTCAAGGTCAACAAGGTCCTCTTCAGGTTCATGAGGAGAGGTTGATCGAGTTTCTTGTGCCGAAATAAGTCGATGAACTCGGGTGAAGCAATTCTGTCACAAATCACCTGGATGGAAGCAGAAATAAAGGCCTCTCCGATCAAAGCTCCAACCATTTTTCTCTTCTTTTCTTTGCAAGGGAATTGGATGAAAGTAACTTGGAAATACAGGTAAGGAAGTATGAAAGCTTTTTATGTATTTATCTAAGTTCCGTTGTGTGGCTGTGAGTGAGTGTTTGAGTTTGTTAGCCTAAGTGATCATAATTAACTTATAATTAGCCAGCAATATTAACTTTTTAAAAATCTCTTTCACGTTCAAGGACTATTCTTTTGGGGGGGACAAAATTTTCAAACTTTTCTGTGGCTTCACATGGGGGATGGGGTCCTCATCACCAATCTGTACACGCAAAGTTGGCCATCGCTGAGAAACTTCAAATAGTGTTGGTGTGTGGGACTGTTAGAGGATGACAAGACAACAACAACAATAATTCTACTGTCCGCAAGTGGAACGATGAACCAGACTCCAGTGCCACTTTGTATATCTACGTCTATTAACAGATTTCAAAACGTACAGTAAGCGGTTACCAAAAAAGTAAAAAAGAGTATGATTTAAAAAAAAAGACCATTACAAAGTTGTTAGAGTATTCACAATGGTCATCTCTATATTTGATTTTTCTTCGGTGTTCATATGTATTAAGTGTATATATCAATTGCTTTGAGTGATTTATTTTTAAATGATTCAACGATTGTGAGTTCATGACCCAGTGACATGCTTTTTTTTTTAATTACGGGAATAAATTCGTTATACTCAATAAACTGTAAAATATTAAGGATATAGTGAATAAGGTAGTTTTGTTTTAGGCTTAGTGCCCGTTTGGCATTGCTTATTTGGGGTGATAAGTGATTTTAAAAAAAATTTGAGAAGTCCAGTCCGTTTGGTAAACTGTGAGAAAATCACTTGTTGTTAAAAATTGCTGTGAGAGAAAGCTATAAGGGAAAGCAGCTAATGAGGTGCTTTCATTTTCTAATTATGTAGGAATCAGTTTTGAAGAGGCGCTGTGTTTAATGATTATGCCACAATCATTTTCTGATTAAGAGGAAATCAATACCAATAACACTTTTAACAAAAAATTTACCAAACGCCAAACTGTTTTCCCTCACAGCTGATTTCTCTCACAGCAAATCTGACAGCGATTATTTTTACAGCACATCAATGCCAAAACTGGCCCTTAGTCAATTGTTTTTATATTTTTCTTAAGTTAAGGTCAATGGGTCTTGCAAGGTGCCTCAGGGCCTGCTTAATTTGTATTTGTAATGACTTTTCAACCGGTTTGTTTATTTAACGTGCTTTGTTCTTCATTTCTTCCGAAAAGTAAACAAAGGAGGCTTGTGGTGCAGAGGCTCGAGGGCTGGGATCTGGTGCGGGAGGCTACAGATGGAGACGAGGTACTGGAGAAAGAGGACAAATGGACGATGAAGATTAGGCCGAAGGGATCAAAGGTCAAGGTTGGGGCCTTGAGCTCTCTCAGGCGTGTTGTTGTCAAGCAGAACTTTACTAGAGAGGTCAAGGCTTCTTCCGAAGAGAGCGTCGTTGGAATCGGTGGACGACTTCCTAAAGCGATGTCAGTAGTAGGGCGATGCCGCATATCGTGCCTTGAGGCCCGAATGCAAGCTCAGATCTTCCTCACGGATAGGGCTGACCCGAGGCCCGATTTTATAGGGGGCACAAAATTTTATACCTAGCCTATTTCCTTCTTTGTTGATCGCTATTATTTTTGTTGTTATTGATTTCTTTATTATAAAAATTGATTAATATTTCCTAAGAGAAACTGTTTGACATTCTCAAATGCGGATGAAGATTTAAGTAAATGAAATTAATTAGTTGATAAAAAAAAATGTAATGTTTTGCAGTCTTAGTAATTGGGGCGTAATTTTAATTTTCAATTAGGTAGTCTAAAGGGTGGGCGCGGTGCGGTTTATATGAAGAATGAGTTTATAGAATTTTCTATTATTGTCTACATTGAAAAAGAACTTGCTGATAATATCAATTCATACACAATAACAAAAGATTTCAATTCTCTCAAGGATTATATGGCACAACTTGAAAATGTACAATTTCAATTATGTTGTTGTACATATTCTCATTTTGATACTATGTGTTTTTTTGGGTGCATTTCACATGCATTTTTTTATTATTATTATGTTAAAGCTTATTGTAAAGTAATCAATGGAGCTATGAACTAGCATGATTTATATACTTTAATATATATTTTATTTTATAGAAAAACAATAAAGTACAAGAAAAATTATCATTAGAATTTAAGCCAATAACTTTAGCTAGCCCACCAGTTGAAAAATTCCTAGTTCCCCCCTTGCACATAATGAATGGTTCCACTACTAATATCACGAGGTCTTTTGTGATAAAACTTCACATCTACTGAACTTTGTTAATAGGCCTTTCCAGAGCATGCGGGCATATGCATGGCCCAAGCTCTTTTATTATGCTGGCAGAGGAAGTGACCTCTACCAACTCGTCCGGGCAATAATATTTACTGCCCCTAATTAACACATGACAAGATGTGTCTTACTTTCTCCCGCCCCGGCCAGGGGTAATTCGGTCTGCATGGACATCCCTTTGTTCACATGGCATCCTTTTATTAGCGTGTAAATATTTGCTCTCACAGAACAACTTCAACAAAGGGTTACTATTCTTGAGAATATAATTTGCCAAATTGGAGACCGATTTGGAAATGGAGTGGGCACAGAATATCAATTGATAATTCACCTCCACTTTGTGGTGGCACTCAATCTCTATTTTTACATCCCGAATTCCCATTTCATGACTACAATTGATGAATAAAATAAAAATAAATAAATAAAGACAGACTTCAAAATGCTATAATAAGGAACAATATGTGAACTGGAAAATGGTTTCTGAAATGCTCCAAGAGATGCAACTAAAACAACAAGCACAGCTACAACACAAAACTCCGAGACTACACATTTTGAGAAATTCAAATTTCAAGCATATCTTCGAAAATCTTAAGTATGCTTTATTTAAAGTTTTTTCGATATATACATGGTGAAACTATTTTGGTCTAAGTAAATTTTGTTAAACATAGGCTGCCTTCTCCATATACAGTTTCTTGATCAAGTTGGCATAGAGATACTTTACCTTAGATGATTGTTCTTTTTTTTTTTTTTCGGGTTGATAAAATAGATGATTGTTCATTTTGATTACAAGACCAACATGTTTGACTTGTTCCTATAGTTCAAGCTCATGCACGGATAGACAGATACCCAAAAAGAGAGAGGCCTATTATCGTAACCTAAGTAAACAAGGCCCAGTATCTATGGGTGTGCCAGTGGAATATCTGGCCTGGGAACACCCGAAATCAGAAAATATTCAATCATGTATAGAGAATACATTTTGGGCTAGTTTGGCAATGTTCTCTAAGTGGGTTAAAAGCATTTTTGGTTGACATAAGTGCTGATAAGGATGCGAAAGGAGTCAAAAAGGTATTGATCTGCAAACAAACGATCTAAGGATCGAACTTTCATGACACCTTATTAGTATGTGTGTACGTGAAAAATTCCCCTCTCCAAACTCCCAAAGAAGCCATATGTGAAGTGGTATTTAGCTATCAAAAACTACAACTATTATATTGATTCAAGTGGCCAAATTTTAGAATTAGATAGGTGGCATGCACTTGGTTTAGTATTCATCTATCGGATGCACACTTTTAAGCTGTCATTTTGTCCAAGGTAGAGACTGACGGCCAGCATTTAGCGTACAAAACAGAGTTCCAAAGGATTCCACAATAAACAAGACAAATCTGATGCGTGTCATGTGAACTCAAATTTGACCACCACTATTAATAATTAGCAGATTGGGGGCTTTGTTTATGTTTTACTACAAAATCTAGCTCGGATTTCATTTGGGTTATTTTTCTTCGAGTCTTCAAGCAAGAAGATATTGTCAAAGGGCTCAATAATTATACACCCCAAAAATCTAGAGCATTGAAAGGCCTACAGTAGTAAAACTTGGGTAAAACAAGAATATCATTGTTTTTTATCCCGGCCAATCCGATATGCGAAATAGAAAAATTATCACGCATGACATATCGTGATTCGTTGAAAATAACAAAACAATGTTATCTCCATGTCATACAACTGTTTCTCAGCCTAGAGAGGTAGGCAAAGCAATATAGATTCAATATTTATTATGACCAAAACCAGATAAACTGCCAAATGATAGCTGAAAGCTGATAATACTGCATGGATGCTTTTGACCCCATTTCAGCTTTTCACATCAACATCCAGGCTTCATTCAATTTCAGCCGTATCTTGGATTCTACTCAACCTTACAAAAGTGATTGGTTTTGGGAAGAAGAGTTCTGCAAACTGCTACGCCGCCTAAACAAGGCCTGAACAGTCTGAAGCCAAAAAGAAAAGACTGGTATTGGTAATGGTGAAGAGAAAGGAGTTTCTATTTAGAAGTAAAAGAGGTTTCCATATTTGGTGAAGCTTGTCAGCGTCACTTTTTTCTTCAGACTTTGCTTGTTAACCTTAATAATCTCCAAAAATTTTGTCTACTCGCAAGCAAACCAACGTCCCCCTCCCACCCCCGCGCGCCTCTCTCTCTCTCTCTCTCTCACATCCTAGATATTTAGATATTTGTTTTTTTATTTCATATTTTTTACTGGATTTC